AGACCGTTCTAAAAACCTATACGAAGGGTATACGTCGGCTGCATCATAGTTCACTCGACTCTAAACTGCTGTGTGGATAGTATCACCGCATAAGCCAAACTGGTATGTCATCATCATTACAAAATGCGTTGTGTACACTAAGCAACAATTAATATTATACAATGGTGGTGCAATACGACATATTCGTGCGTTTGTGTGGTGGGTCGTGGAGCATCCTTAGCACGCATGTATGGTTTAGTTTACCTTGGTAAGGTTGAGCAAGGGTATCAGGAGGCTTACGGGCTAATAAGAGATAGGACACCACCAAATACACTGCTGATAGCGCAGGTTTTTGTCATTAGTCTGCCAATCTACACTTATTGGTTATTATTGTAGCCTGTTTTCACGAGATCCTACGCTCTTTGGAACAAGAGCAGTATTATCTTCTTTACACATCCACATCGTTACACGTGCCCATCGGCTATAGTGTTGCTATGGATGCCATCATGCATAGCATATCGTCGCTCAGGACGAGAAAAGTGGTTTCGAGAGTCAGAGGTTGTAGATCAAGTAAGGTTGCCGAGCAAGTCTTTTAATGTTGTACGTCGGAATAGTTCTAGTTGTAAAACGTGTTTGTGCCGCGTGGAAGCAAGATCACATCCATATCATCGATACGTATGGATTTAGCAATAGGTAACGAGACAAATGTCAGTGGAGCAATGAAATGGTTTAGAAAAGGAAAATCCAGTGTTTAATATAAACGAAAAGTGTTAAATAGCTGAAACAATTTACTCCAGACTGAGAGCTGAACCAGCTTGAGCCGGACGGACGCGTTTCTTTTTAACCTCAAAGACTTGTCGATTGGCTACAGATCCTTCGGCAGCTTTGCCGAGCAGGTTCAGCACTTCTATTAGATGCACGCACGCACCCAGCTTAAACCACGTTCTACAGCTACACTGTCGAAAGTTGGGGTGAACGAACCAGCCAATTGGGGGTTGCGACTCTGCTTCAAAATCGTGTTCAACTGCTGACTGCTCCTCCGCTTCTGAGGGCTTATTTGACAGTGTACTTCTGGTGTACCGCTGATAAACGTTATACAAGCGACCGCTGTGAACGTTGATCATTATTTCTGGGACAAGGGTGATACAAAACGAATTCTGAGTCGATAATTTACGATAGGCACGCAAGGTCTCCACTGATGCACGCGTTGTAGTCTTGAACGTGATGCTTAAAATGGATTTTAAAGAGCGACACTCCAGAAGCTTTTCGAACAGAGTGTTTAGCCGCAGAAGTCTCCTTTGCGTGTACTGCTGTTTGAATTGTCCATTAAAGTTTTCAATGGGGTTGTTC